GACTTGGCCCATTCTATAGGATGAACAAAGGCCATTCCCTTCACCCTAGCAATTCCTCTGGACCTTCAACACTGTAAACAACTGATTTTTGTAAGAGATTTCCCCAAATACTCATAATTTGATGTCCTCCTATCAGGTCAGCTACGTCTCCACTCGTGTACTCACGCAGCACTTTGTCGCTGACCCGAGGACTGCTGTAAGAGTGCGTTAAAAACTCTGTGTTTCCTTACAGAATGGTCACCCTACGTCAAACAGCTCGCGGATTTCTCCTCACAATAATGAATCTGAACCCAAAAAATTGGAGAAACTCCTTGGAATTGAGGCAAATCTTCTGAAGTGACCCTTTGTGACAGGCAGTGACTGTTCCCCTCCAGAACCTAGAGCATGTGGTATATGGAGTGAGAGGTTACCAGTATCAACGGCATTTATTGGCTGCTGAGAAATGAGATGTATTTTTTTTATATACACACATATAAAAAAAATAAGAGTGAGGTAGATAAATGTTTGAAAAAAAAAATCAAAAACTGTCCCCCTGTCATACTCAAAAACCCTTATCTCGGTATTTAAATTTATTATGGGGCATCTCTACAGTGATTTAAACTGGTATCACAAAAATAAATAAAAAATCCTACATAGAATACCTTCTTAATTAACTTTTTTTGTCTTTTTCATTTTTAAAAGGGAAAAATAACTATGGGACAGAGGCAAGAGAAGATAACGGGACCTAAACTACACAAGCAAAAAGCACTACAAACTTTTTAAAATCTCCAGTCAAAACTAGCAATCAGTATATTTAAACTCTTTGTTCTTACTCAAAAGATTTAACCATTTCCATCCCAGAACCACCTCTTCACTGCCATCGCTTGGTTGGATCAGTGCTAAACAAAGGCTTAGACGCTGTAACTAACGTAGGATGAGCAACTGGTAGGACTCCTTGGTCGCAGACTTTCTGATGGCCCCTCCTTCCCCTCCACCACGGCTTCAACTGAACAAACAAGCTGACTCCTTCTCTTTTGTTCTGAGGTTTGGTCTAGGATTTAAGCAACAAGCTCGTACTTGTAGAGGTTTCCGTAGCTGCCAACACTTAACTCCCTGCTAGCCAAGCCACCAGCCCCAGCTCTGTGCTTTCCATCAGCCCCCCGGGTTTGGTTGGGCAGTTGGCTTTTGTGCCGGGGTGCGAAGCGCAGCCCGGGGCGCCGCTGCGAGGGGCGTCCTCCTAAGGAGGGACGAGAGCCGGGTGTTGGGTGGCCACCCTAAGAACGCCTGGCATCGCAGCTGCGACTGGTACAGCTCTTGTTCAGGGTGTGGATGGGGTAAAATAGTCCTTTTAAAAAAACGGTGACCCAAAAGCCTGGTGTCTGCTGTACCCGACAAAAAAATACATCAAGGGGCGAGTGGGTGTGTGCCACAACCAAAACAAGCGGGGAGGGAAGGAGGGGTAGGACCCTTGTACAACAATGAATATCAACACTGAACAAGAATGTACTAAATATTTAACCTTGTTTTTCTGACCTGAGTTTGTATCATGCCTTGCACTGTAAGAGACTCGCGTGCTGCCTGGGCAGAGGTGAGCGGGAAGGAAGGAAGACCCGGGTTTAAAAACACCACACCACAGCACTGCCAGAGTGTTTCCGGGCAGGGTGTCCCTTCTTTCTCCGTGTCCCTCTCAAAAGCCCCGTAGCCCACACAGCCAAGATGTTGTAAAACAACTAATGGGGAGAGAAAAAAAAAAGAAAAAAGTAAAAAAAAAAAAAAAGGAGGAAATGTGTTTATAAAAAGGCATTAAACAGTTCATGGCAAATCATATGAAAGGTATCAGTTACTGGGAAGGAGGAAGTAAAAGTTACACACTATAGTACAAAGCATAAGAAAATCTGTTGAAGTGGGAGGGAAGGGAAGGAGGGCAGACCTGAAGGTTTTCATAGATTAAATCCACAAAGATAAAGAACAAAAAAAATAGCAGCTTTTTTCTGTACAGACATATAGATGAGTATCTGAACCGTAAAAAAGTTATAAAAGTGACACAAAAGACAATGTGTATGCAAATGATCCATGGTCTAACATAGAACTGCAAGACCCTTCGAGAAGTCTTAATAATAAGGAGAAAAGGTCAACAAAGCATCGTGTACTTGAATCCGGTTACTGCTTTTTTTTGTCTCCTCCAATTTAGGTTTCTAGGTGTTTTCTCCTTGCCAGCCTGTGAAGGACGGCAGGCTGCAACGCTGGAGATCTCTGCCGGTCATAGTCATGGTTTTCGAGGTTCATTTTTGGCGTGCGGTCGACTTTTGGTTTTTTTTTTTTTAATTTCTTTTTATTGATTTTTAAATTTTTTTTTATTTTTAAAATTTTTTTTTACAAAATGTGTGTTTAGCTCACCACTGCCAGTTTTGTCCAGAATTCATGGGGATGGGGACAGGGGCAGAGAGAGGGCTGTTTCTTTACCCCATCCCTTTCTTCTTCATCACAAGAAAAAAAAAAAAATTCACCTTTTGTCCAGTTTTGAGATAAGATCTTGACAATTTGATATTTTAATTTTTTTTCTTTTTCCTTTTTTTAAACACCAGTGTATGATTGAATGTATTGGTCAGGATCTCTTTTGAACAGAGCAGTTGATTACTGTGCTCCTTCCATGCCTACAAAACCAAAAAAAAAAACAAACCCAAAAAACAAAAACAAAGAGTTCTTTTCTTTTTTTTTTTTTGGCAAAATTTGGCAGCGTTGAAAACGGTAACAACCTTGGACGAATGATGGCCCTTTTTTATTCTTTAAGTGTTCCTAAAAAGATTAAAGAGCAACATTAAAAATCCAGTCTTTTTCATGTTTTTCGTGGGTTGGTTGTTTTTTAGAAAGACCTACAGTGTTAGGCAGGTGTTTGCAGGGGAACTGGGAGCCACCTGGCCTGCGATATCTTTGATCTGATCAAAGTGCTGTACGGTTGAACTTGCACGCAGATATGTTTCCCATTACGAAGCTAAGAGAGAGACAGAAAGAGAGAGAAAGAAGAGAGAGGAGAGAGACATCAGATCTCAAGTTTTCTGTTGCTATTAAGTATTAACATCAGAGTTCTAAAAGGCCGACTGTGTGCCCCATGAATGGAGTCCGTTACTGAAACAAACATCTGCTTGCATATCGAAAAAAGAAAAATACGGTAACTTGTTTACTGAAAAAAGTGTTCTCCCAAGTGCAGCTACGGCAGTTCTGAAGATCCACTGAGGTACAGTAGGCTTGTGAATATATTGTACTTTTCTTTCTTCCCCCGACGCGCGTGTTTGTGTGTGTTCTGTTTGGGTGAGATTCTGGTTTAAGGATCAGCAGGCCGACGACTGGGGCAGCGGTAAGGCCCTCTCGTTCTTGCGTCCCCCGTTCATGTGTGCGTACGGCTGTCTCTCCTCGAAGCTGGCCCGAAGCACCACCACGCCCGGGCCGTTCTCGGCTTTGTGTCCTGAGTGCTTGTCAGTGGGTTGGAGGGTGGAGGAGGGATCTAAAGGAATGCTCTCCATGTTTTCAGTCTCCAGGTCAAGCTCCTCTGTGTCTGGCGGCTTGTTCTCTTCACTGTAGAAGAAGGAGACCTCTTTGAAGGCTGGATCCAGCTCGTCTTTAATGCTACCGATGATTTCCAGGAAGGAGGGCCGCATCTTCGGGTTGTACTGCCAGCACATCCGCATCAGCTCAAACCTGGACGGGAAACACACAGCAAAACCATTTACTGAGGTGTTTTACGAGCCCCGGCTGGAGCCAACCAACTGCGACTGGACCAGATCACGCATTCGGGAAAAATCCTTCAATTCTGATAAAACGACACAGTTTTTACACAGGCTGAGATGCCCGTGCCACGTTCTGACCTTCTTTTCTAATCACCGGTTTACTTCTACAGCTCCTGTCTCAACCTTCGCTCCCTTCCAGACACCCGCCCGCAGAACAGCCTCGCGGACACCCGACGTCCAGAAGCATTTCATACTGTGACTCTGACTTGGTAGTTCTCTCCTTCTCCTCCAAAATATCCCATGCGTGCTCAATCCTACAGCTACCTGGCAGAGCCCCTCGGAGTATCTTATTCAAACAAGCAATCCCTACCCTATCGATACAGTCCTTGAAAAAACGACAATAGGAAATACACACGAGCTAAAACACTGCTTTATTCCCTCTGAAAGAAGAAAATTACATTAAAATTAACTGTATCCCCCAAAAGACATTCGCCAATCTCAAAGACATTCTTCTAACGTTTTGGGATGAAACTGTGCTGTTTTCATTTCTGGCCAGGGATGCATTAAGATTTCACGGAGTGCGAGATCATCCGCTTAGGCAGGTCCACGATTAGAGCAGAACAACGACCCATGCTGGCAAAACAAAACCACGAAATGCAACGGGGACGCACACGTCATGCAAACGGCATTTTCATGGCACAGCAAAGTTGGATATTCCCGAGAGGTCGCCCTGAGCTTCAAACACAACACAAGGAAGGGTTTTGCTGCCTGTGAAGGTGCAACAGGGACGTCTTCTGTTAACACCGCCCAAGGAGCACGACAAATTTAAGTAAGAAAAGGAAGATGAGTTCTTTGAGGCAATCGTCCGTGTACACAACACACAGAAGACGACACCATGTGTAGGCGTCACTGCTGGCCAAACTAGCATTTTCTGTGCTAGAAGAAGAATGGATCTAAAAAACCCACCAAAGAGAAATCTATCAGCAAGGGTAACATACTGGAGAATCCTTCACATCTCCGACTCGCCTTCCAGCACGGAGACCTGCAGTCCCAGCACGGAGACCTCTCCTTGCCTGGCCAGCAGCCTGGGCCAGTGGCCAGCCCGGGCTCATTGCCTCACCTCTGCCAGCCTCCCCACCTACGGGTAGGCAGCTCACCTCAGCTTGCAGTTTTGATTCTACAGAACACCACCACCATTTCCCCGACTTTGGCAGACTTTTGGGAAGGAAGCAAGGAACTCCGTTTCATGCTTTAATTAGCTCTCACTGCCTTGTGCCCCGGCAACAGTTTACCAGATCCCTGCAGCAGTGTGTGGAATGGCTTTTTTTTTTTAATTTAATAGAAGAGACCAAACCAAACTTCACTTTTTCTGAACCGCACCTAAGTCCATCACAGAGTAATGTCTCAATGTCTCCAGAGTCCCTGCTCTAGAACAAACCTTTCCACAAGACTGTCATAGAGCTGCACCACCCTGGGCTCTGAAGCCCATCGCTGTACATCGCTGCACGCAGCGGGGTCCGGAGAGTCTGGGAACCCTGACATGAAACAAACCCCAAGCAAAGCCATCCCCCTGCCCCCAGACCCTCGCTCCTGGCGACCCACTGCTGCGTTTCCTCAGGGGCTGCATCACGCTCAGCTGACGGGACCCAGCAAAGAGACAGAAAGCTGCTGTGTTTGGGATGCGAACACTGCCCAGAGCACTTCAACCAAAACAAAAGCCATCTTCATGGCAGTGCAGCATTTGAAGTCGCAGACACTCCTGTTAGAGCTCAGCTGGCACAGCTCTGCGTGAACAGAAGTCAGCCACCTGAGCACGGCCTTGTGACACCCAGAAAGAAGCCGGCAAAACCAGTCTGTGCTGGGAGCACTCCCCGGGCACTCGGCGCTGTACTGAAACAGGCACGGAGAGGTGTAAACACCGTTAAACTATCGCTTGTTTTTCAGCCTTTACAGAGTCTCTCCTAGCGAAAGCGAAGCCAAACTATAAAACTGCACTATACCCTCACCCGCAAACGAGGAGGAAAGCTTGAGACATCAATATATAAAATCCATTTCTGTTACTTCATTGCTGTTTCCTTTCCAGCTGACTGCTGCGTCCCTGAATAGAAGCGGCAGCCGGAGCCAAGAACACTGGATATTCGCTGGCGCTTCGCCCTGAGGCCTAAGGGCAATGCTAAGGAGATACCACAAGCAGTGGAGTAATGCATGTGACATCAGCACAAACAAGGACATGTGATGTTTCTTTTAAGCCATTCCAGATTTAAAAACCCTACGGAGTTCCCATAAAAGGATTTTTTTTTTCTTTTTAACTCTGTGGGCTCAAAGACCTTGCTTACATTATCTCAAACAAAAAAAACACCCTTTCCAGTAGACAATGGAAGAATTTACAGCTTGTTAATATAACCTGAGCAGTTTCATAAAGTACATTTGCGACTGGTGGCAAGTGAGCTCAAGGGAGTCGCAGGCACTGTCAGGAGACAGAATAGCCAGTGCCTTTTCCTGTGCGTCTTTCGCTCGAAGAACTGAGCAGAAAGCGAGTTATTTTTGCACCCAGACAGTAAAAAGCAGAAAATGGAAAGTTACTACAGGAGCTGCATTCCATCTGAGCGTGTGTTTGTGCTTTGCATCAGGCTGGATGGGGGAGAGTGGAAAGACCTCTCCTATTCTGCTGCTGCCTCTGTGGAGCAGAGCCCGGGTTCTAACCAGGAACAAAGGGAAAACCAGCAATGCGTAAATAGTCTCGTCATCTACAACGCATGTGGGAGAAGCAGTCTTGCTTCAAACACAGAGTGGAATTCCAGTCTCCACCACTTTTAAAAGGCCCATGGGAACAGAGTGTCTGCGAGCTGCAGCTGTAGCGAACGTCCCCGCCACGCAGCCATCACCTGATGAGCGCTGCCCCAACAATGGTGGTACATAAAACCAGAACTTGGTGCACAGGAAGAGGAGAAAAACAGCAAAGCTCCTCCTGGCACTGTCGTACTGAACCATCTGTCTTACTGCGTGGTTCTGTCTGTAAAACCATGCAAACTATGCCAAGAGGGTGTAGCATAAACAGAACTGAGTCTTGTTTCACCCTGTGTAAGAGTAAAAAGCCTCGAGAAATACCGTCCCCTTTGTGCTCAGCCTTTCACGGGGATTTACCACCTCTCTGAACCACAGTGCAACCGCGTCGTAAAAGCCCCCTTTGCACAGGCGTCCGATAGAACCACGCTGCAGCACGGAACCTCTACAGCTCTTCAATGTCCCTGGTCTCCACCTAAAAGCCACTGACCCACTGTCACCAGGGCTTAGCAAAGCACAGCCACTCGCAAGCCTGACCAATGTCGCCGTCTTCGGAGCGATGGGGCATCCGAGACTGCTCCCCCCACGTAGTGTTCACGCCGGGGTGGGGGGGCAACAAGAGGCCCTCGCTAAAACTACTGCACCGTGGCCAGAGCGCGCACAGCTGTGTCAGAGCTCACGTCATCTGCGAGGTTAAAAATAGTGGATTAGGTGACAGTTGCAGCAAGATTCTTCTCTCTATTCTCATCCACGCTGCCCCGCAGCAGCCCACCTCCCCCTGCTGTTCTGGAGGGTTTTGTATGTCGGTACGGACACACAGAAAGGTAAGTCTGTGCTCCGCCCAGAATTCTAGTTGTTTCTAAGTCAAACTAATCTAACATGAGACCATAGCAGTGTGGTCCCTGGCTCCCCTTCTCGCTTGCTTCCCCGCGGTACCAAGCACAAGCAGCACGCTGACTCCCCTGCAGCAGGTGGACTTTGCTTTCTGGACATCTTGCCTTGATAGTGCGATTCAGGTATCACAGACCAGCCAGTCTCCACCAGGAAGAGTTTGTGCTGTCTAAAAAGAACAGCTTCCCCTGGCACAGACATGCCAAAAAACCCTGTCTTTAAACAGAATCTTTTGGCAACCTCCACAAAAAAGAGGACCCCTATTTTACAAAGGTTTTCATAAAGCACTTGAGAAAGAGGTTGCCTGAAACTTGCTGGGGGCGCGTGGCAAGATCCACATTTCGGTGCCCTCTGCAACGCTGTTACAAGCACCTTTCTGGCCACTTTGTGATTGTGGTGCTCCGTTCAGGGCTGGGAAGCCAGTTACCAGACAGCTGGAGAGGGGAGCGGAACTCTGCCTGCAGCCCCGGTCTCTGTGCCTGCCAGCAGCAACACCTGAGGTTCAAGACTGGCAGCAACTGTCAGCGCTGCACAGCATCTCTACAGCCTCTCGGGATGCAGGACAGGGAAAGAAGAACAACATGCAAAGACAAAAGCACCACAGTGAGGGAAAAGAGGTTTTCTGAATGCCAAAGGCAAGCACACAGAACAAAGGGGAAGATTATTCCTGGAGCTCCCCACTGTTATTCCTACAAGAGCCTATTTCAGTTCAGCAG